ATGAAAGAACACCTAGCCGGCAAAAATAGACCAAATACCCCGCTAGGCACGCATAGGACCCAGAGACATAACGGGGACGACTTCGAAGTATGTGTCACGATCCTCGCACGCGAATCAAGAACACAGGCGCGAAAAACTCTCGAGGCACTCTGGATTAATTCCAGAAATCCGAAAATGAACCGCAGGGAAGAATGCCTCATTATCACGCGTGATATAGGGCAGTATATAAAACTGCTTTTCTGATGTTAGGGGCACATTATACTTCCACGTGATTTATGTGCGGTTGGTCTCTACGTGACATACTTAGTGGAAACTTCATAGAAAGCGGTGAGTGTGCAAAGCTGTGTTCAAAGTGATTGAAATCTTGGTTTGGAGTTTATTTGTTTGGTTATGGAGGCGTCTGGCCGAGTGGATTGCTATCAACTTGACCTTTCCAGGTTCTGAAGAAGGCGAAATCCGCCGAAACGTCAGCTTAATCGTGAACAAAGAATAATAACACCTCGCGTTTGCTCAACAGGAGTACGAGGAGAATCACTTGATCAATGCCGAGGTTAATAGAAAGTCGGTCGTGGCAGTTACAACAAGATCATTTATGGCTCAGTTGGAGTACATGTGGTGCACTGGATAGAGGTTTCCTGTAGTACACAAATGGATCGTAACCTGGTTCGCTTCGGTGGCCCGGGCTCAACATGTTTTCCTTTCGATTATTAAGCAATCACGGGATTAATCACAATTCTAAGTTTATTATTTACTACCTGCCCTTTTTAAAAGCAGGGTATATTGCGAAATATAACTTCAACGATGCTGAGAGATTTGCAAAACTCCGGCCCGCAGGTGTCTGCGGTGAGGAACGAACGCGCTATTGTCCATTCCGGAGAGTAACGCGTTCACCATCACACCATGCGGGTCCTTCGTTTCGCCTGCCTCTCAGCTAGTTCTATCGATCTCTGCCAACAGTAGTCACCCGTCAGCGGGTTCCCTGCGGTCCGGAGTTTCGCAAATATCTCAGCATCATTGAAGTTATATTTCGCAATATACCCTGCCTTTAAAAAGAGCAGGTAGTAAATAATAAAGTTAAAATTGTGATTATAACTGCAGCCTCAGCTTAACTGGGTTCGTTGCCGGTTTGGGCCCCACAGATCAATCCCGTTGACGGGTGATTTCTGATGGCAAAGATCGATAGAACTAGTTGAGAGATAGGCGAAACGAAGGACCTGCATGGTGTGGTGGTGGACGCGTTACTCCCCGGAAAGTACAATAGCGCGTCCGTTCCTCACTGCAGACACCTGCGGTCAGGAGTTTTGCAAAGATCTCACCTTCATTAAAGTTATATATCACGGGGTTGACGAGAAAAATTATTCGTCTAATATTTCGATGTCTTGGCTTATTCAGATCCGGATTTATCCGAGTCGATGATCCATAGGTGGTCGCCCTCGCGTCGTGAGCGCCCGCTGTCGCATTGAGTCGAATCCATTGAGGTGAGGCACTATTCAAATGGAGAATCTCACTCAGCGGTGCCTGTTTTTATCCTAGAAAGGGACACTGCCGAATGAGATGATTTATGCTAACGGTGGCCTACTTCGATGGAATGGACTAGATGCGACAACGAACACCCATGTCGCGAGGATAAGTATCTGTAGATCATCCTGAAGTTAAATCACAGTCGGTTTGAAAAGAAAACTGACGTGATACATTGGTAAGCAATCGCGATTATTGTACAGGGCAGATATCTATTAAACCACTTTTGATGCTACTTGGCGAAAGCGAATGTGTGACCGAATGTGAAAACGATCGAGGAACTAGAAGGAATTCTTCTTATATTATCCACCTGAATTGTTCACTATCTATGTATGCTCCACTATACATAGTACAGTGGTCGGAGGCGCCCTGCAATACACACATGAGATCGATCCCTGCACTCACACCGGTGTGTCACCAAGCCTTCCATCCCTTCGAGGTCGGCAAATTGATACTAGATTTGTCTGGGAGGACAGCAGCACTGGTTTGATACATCGGCAGGCCACCGCGAGTCATTTTAAAGGCCAGTTATACATTCACTCATCTCCAACGATACTTAATAAAGTCGAATGCATGGCACGTCCTTCAGGGATTGATCAACAGAGCTTTGTCTTTTTTGTCCACTCTATATACCTCGCATTATAGCTGCTAGGAATTAATGATAAAATTCAGAACTGTGCTAAGCGAAATACTATGTTTGCGAGTAGCCGTGGTTGAAACAAAGCCGTCTCTAGTCACAGATACCACGTTATTCATCAGGAAAATGCTTTCTTCACTCGATGACTTGTTGCTGAAGTTTGAGAAGGCGTCTTGAGACTGTTGCACTTTCTGGGCTTGAATAAAAACATCGAATGAAATATGCAAGCTGGGTTGTCTAATACCCACTTCGCTGTCAAGCTTTAATCTCATTTGTCAGTCGAAATTTCGCTTGCCTACAGCATGTCAATAAAACGAACTTTGTAGTGAAGCTGAAGAAAAAAGGGTAACAATTCACTGCCAATATGGAAGACGGACGAGATTTCGAAGCAGAAGGAACAGAAGGTGTTGGAATCCCCACGTTGACAATTAATAGCGTTGTGGTGGACGTTAAAACGTAACGTCATATTGTGGTTTTTAACAAATAACAACAGTTCTTCTCTTGCTAGAATGCTTGAAGGGTACTAATTTCGTAAGAGAACAGCAGACACCTTGCTTCACCATTATAGTCCTATACACGTCAGAATGGAATATTGTCGTATTTTTAAGCATCTATGTATGTGTGTGTATGTATAGAAGTGAGAGTTGAATGCAATAGACCCCCGAAGACTGCTATTATGTCGGTCAAACTTTCCATGTATTCCCCGTTAGCATCGCACTTTACCCTACACATGCTTTGCCCTGCTTCGTGCACATAAGAGTTTTTATAAAATTTTCTTGTGATTTCGAATATATCTAGAATTGTTTTAATGAATCTGATGTAAACGCGATAACAGGAAATACCAACGATGTGTTCGAGAACATCATCGCCTTATACAAAACCTTTCGATCAACTTTCCAAAGACGACTTTCTGCTTTCTTGAGACGCTGATGGATCCGTGGGATGGATACCCTGTTTCTGTTGTTCCAATTTGACACATAGTCTCTATGTTTACTTAGAAATATGCATGCATGCCTGCGTGAGTGTGTTCTCATTTATGTGGATTATATTCCACGAGCGATCGGCCAAAAGCCTACAATCAAATGACAGGGTAGTACAAGAGAGGCGGTTAAGAGTTGCCTCTAGCAAATGAGCCTCCGTACCCAGTGGAAGAGACCTGCAAAGCTAGCAGTCAGGACGCGCTGTACACGTGTTCTGAGCCCAGCAAGCTATACGTGCGTATCAAATGCTAAACACAGTGGAAACAGTAAAACATAGTAAAAAGCAGAAACAAAAAACAGTAAAACAAATGGGCCTCATTGCTCTGACCCCGAGAGAGCTCCCATTTCGGCAGAGCTGAGTAGGACGAGTGCGGAGAGGCAGCTAAGACCTCAGAGCCATTTTAGGCTAGGCTGCATAAATTGTAGAGGACTAAAGTGACGATCTGTACCTATCACGCATGCTCAATTGCATCTAAGATGCATCATTCTAGATTTACCACCATTCCTATCATCCTTTATTTTTGCTCTAATCGTTCAGCTTCTTGTTTGCAGAAACTGCATAATTGTCGAAAGTTGAAACATAGCAGTTGATTGAGCTACGACGGCCAGGAGTACATACATTCTGCTTCAACAACATTCTACTTTCATGGAAAGTGTTTACTGAGAGAAAGGAGAAAAGTTACATTGTGAATGGGAATGAACGAATGGCATATCTCATGCGATGGCAACTGCTTCTTGACAAATAACCTATTGTACACCCTTTCACAAACACTTTTTGCTCTTGCTTTTATCGAAAACTCTTTGCTGCCCACAAAATAATCCGGCACACGAAATTTATTGCTGAAAATCGAACACTTTTGGGCTAATCAGTATAACGATACGTGAAAGTTGCATTCATCGTCTTGAATTTGTTGTAGAGAATCACAGGAAAGTGATTGGTGCTGGTGATAATGGTTCTGCCTCTGCTCCCCACCGAGCAAAGACTGAAAATTGAGATAATGTGAAGAACTGTGAAGGCTGAAAATATTGTCTCTTACCGGTAACCAGTAAGCCTCTGGTCCTTTTGAGCTTTGACTTCAATTCCTCCTCTTGGGCATCCAGGGAAGTTATAACCAGCCGAGATGGAAAGAATATGCAACTCGACTTGCTTACCCACAGGTGCCTTAGCATAATCATGTTTCGATTCTACTGACTACTGAGAATGCTGATCTATACAAACGTACCTTAACCATGTAATAGCAAAAATCGAAATGTTCCCTAATGTCGGATCCGCGACCTACACTACATTCGATCACTTGTTTCACATTTGTGGCAAAGAGGTCTTGTCCACATCCTGGTGGCTGAAGTAAATTCTATCTTTGCATCGCATTTTTATTCATTGCTAGTTCCTTTCTTACTCTCTGGTCGCACAAATTCCCACCATATCCACCCGGACATATACATATGGTGCAGTTTCGAGGGTGAGGAAATCCTCCATTCACGCACTTGGCCGAAGTGGACTTGTTGCATTTTGCTGAAGAATTCCACTGTTCTTCTGTCTTATCAAATTCCAATACAAAATGTGGGCCAACCATTGCATCCGTGGTGTTCGTTGATCATGAAAATATCGGAGTAGGAAATAAGTGGAGATCCCATCGTTTGTTGATGAAGAGGATCTGTTGCCATCATTGTGGGTCGCTTGTCGCGAGAACCGCTTAGAAATACAACAATACTTTTAGTCGTGACAAATTCTCAAGCACGTATTTCACACCTTAGTTCACTGTAGTGCATGATACTTCCGTGATCGTACGAGAGTCCATGGACTTCGGCGTAGTTCTCGCTGAGTTTTTGGAAATCGGTGAGGTATTGTGGCTGAAAAGTTCCTTTGAAAAGTTCTTCTCAGAGATTTTGTTCGTATTTTTGTTGAGCAAACGCGAGGTGTTAGTATTCTTTGTTCACGATTAAGCTGACGTTTCGGCGGATTTCGCCTTCTTCAGAGCCTGGAAGGGTCAAGTTAATAGCAATCCACTCGGCCAGACGCCTCCATAACCAAACAAAGAAACTCCAAACCAAGATTTCAATCACTTTGAACACAGCTTTGCACACTCACCGCTTTCTATGAGGTTTCCACTAAGTATGTCACGTAGAGACCAACCGCACATAAATCACGTGGAAGTATAATGTGCCCCTCACATCAGAAAAGCAGTTTTATATACTGCCCTATATCACGCGTGATAATGAGGCATTCTTCCCTGCGGTTCATTTTCGGATTTCTGGAATTAATCCAGAGTGCCTCGAGAGTTTCTCGCGCCTGTGTTCTTGATTCGCGTGCGAGGATCGTGACACATACTTCGAAGTCGTCCCCGTTATGTCTCTGGGTCCTATGCGTGCCTAGCGGGGTATTTGGTCTATTTTTGCCGGCTAGGTGTTCTTTCATGCGGACACAGAGGGGTCTACCCGTTTCGCCAATGTATTCGTCACCACACGTCTTACAGGAGATCAGATAAACTATACCCGAGCTCATGCAATCACCGTCTCTACCACTGGGGCAAATTATGCTAAAAAAAGTTGCACATAGACGGTCATATAGGCGGTTACGAACTAGCTGGCGCTTAAGATTACTCGGTGGTATTTCAACTACGCTCACCGAATTCTCTAAGCCCGCCCTTCTTAAGCAGCGTTTTATAGCTGTACTTATATCATTTGAGATGAAGGGTAGGATAAACGGGACCCTTCTATCGCTAGAGTTGTCGTTTGGAGGCCTACGATTTCCTCTACACCTATTCTGAGCTACAGTTTCGTAGCCATTAGAAACGGCTATTTGCCGTGCCAAGTTCCGGGACTCCTCTCTTTGCTCTCTTCCCGTGCACACGTTGGTTGCTGTTCGAAACATGTTTCTTATAAGCGCCCTTTTCGTGTGAGAGGGGTGAGAGGAGAGGTAATGAACCAAGATATTTTTACTACTTGGCTTTCGGTACCACTTCGTAATGTAGCCATTTTCTGATAGGTGAACGTTCAAAAATGGAAGCCATTTTTCTTTCGGCTTTTCTCGGGTGAACTTGATATACTCTGACTGTGCGTTTAACAATTCGAAGCATTTGTCCATTTCCTCTTGTGTTGAGCAAAGGACAAAGCAGTCGTCTACATACCTACAGTAGAGTAGCGGCCCGAGATCAGTCACCGGTGCTTCCACCTTAGACATAAATGCAATGGCAAGGCTTGGAGCCAGTCGTTGCCCCATTGCCAACCCTCTTATTTGAGCGTGGTACTTTCCAGACCATTTGAAGATTGAGCAGCCCAAGCATTCTTTTAAGAGTGCCATCTCTTCTCAGAGATTTCAGTCACTTTTTTTTGTAATGGCCCACCTCAATATGTTGCCAGAAGATTGTAATGTGATTGTCGCGATCAAACCGTGACATTGTGTGGTAAAGTCCGAGAACATGGCCGATCTCATGCTCGACGTACATTTCCTAAATTATTTCCCGACTAAATTAGAAGATTTGTCTGACTGAAAGGAAACTATTAATAATACGCCTTTTTTAATCTTGTTTTATTTAACCCGTCTTCACGTCTGCTGTGCGAATCCCAGTACTTCTCATATTAAATTAGTTTACTCGCATCTATTGTCCACGAAGATCTTCTAACATTACGTGTGGCTTCGGTTGCTGCTTGACGATTTTCATTTCAACTTGAACGTCATAGAATGCTGGTCCACTAATTCTCCCTGGAGTTCTGAGATAGACTGGCCGGAGCATTCCCAATTAGATTGTAGAGAGCGATTTTTTTCCGGACAGGTGCGATATCAATTTCACCACCGCAATGGGTTGAGGGGCCTGGTGAGCCTGGACCGGAAGCAAACCAGCACCGTGCTCGTGATGTACCCCATTTGATTACAGAGAGTATTTTTTTTCCAGACAAGTTCGGTGCCAATTTCCCGAAACCGAAGGGATGAGAGGCTTGGTTGACCTGGAGCGCAATCGAACCAGCATTGTACTCATGATGACTGATAACACTACCACCTTGCTCTCCGCCGCCTTACAGTACGTGTTATTTTTCAGAATTGTTAATTACTAATTTGCCAGTATGTCCCACCGTTAGAGAACCTTTAGTAAGAGAAAGAATCTGATTTCCTCCAATTTGTCCGACTTGCGAATGAGATGAGCCTTTGCTGACCACGACAACTTTGTCCTTGGCTGCAAATATTTTTTGTAAGGTTCGCTTCAACTTTTTAATAAAGAAATTCGAACAAACCATCTTTGTTTTCTATAAACTCGATGCATGTGGCTTCGCTCCATACCTTTGCACCCATTTCGAACGCTTTTTGCACGTTACGGTCTGAAATCTTATCTCTTAGAGAAATTGTACGCTGGTAGGGTCAGATGGCTCAGAATTTCATCAAAATGTTTACCATATTCAAATAGAAACATTGTCATGCAACAAACTTGTGTTGACTCATCGGCGCAAAAAGAATTTTAATCCATTTAAAATTTTACTATTCTCTTATTGCGCATGTTTCATTTATTAGTTTGTACTTTAAACTTGTTCTTCAACAATGTCCTCAGTTTTTCTGGATTAGCATCACTGTAACTGTCTCTATGAATATCACAATTCCACAATGACGTTGGGATGTTTGCAAAACTTCGGATCGCTGGTGTCTGTGGTGGAGAACGAACGCGCTATTACTCCTTCCGGGGGCTCACGCGTTCACCACCACCACATCATGCGAACACAGTTATGCTGAGGCTGTAGTTGAAAATCACAATGTTAATAGTTTATTTACTGCACTTGCAATTTTTCGCGACAGGGCATTACGTGTGAGCTACCCAAATAAATCCCGTTGACACGTGATTGGTGATGGCACTGGTCGATAGATAACTGGCTGAGAGACAGGCGAAACGAAGGGCCCGCATAGTGTGGTCGTGAACGCGTTATTCCCTTGAAAGGGTAAAAGTGTGTTCGTTCTACACCGCAGATACCTGCGGTCCGGAGTTTTGCAAACATTTCAGCGTCATTGTCGTTCTATCACAGATATTTCCCGTAATGACAACGGAACAGATGGGACTTCAAGATTGTTTGGAAAAGGCGTGGCGAAATGGGGTTGTGGGTTTATGCCATTCAGAAGTGACTGGGAATGTAGGTTACGGTTTTTCCACTTAGAAAATCTTGGGAAACTAACCTGATGTGTTGAACGTGTAGTAAACACCATTCTTCCACGTAGAATTTGGAATCGAGAAGCTTTTCAATACCTGTCTCTTTGTACGAGTGTTATTTTCGTCTTCCATGAAGTATTGCTTTCCTGGTCTCCTGAACACAACTTACCGCGGGACTTGGAAAAGGTCGTTCGTGAATCACACACTATGTAATAAGTTACTCTGCCAAAACGATGTCACCTTGAAGCCGAATCTGTCCAACGCCTCGCTCAAGATTGACTTTGAAAGTCGATTTATTTACTTTTGGTTTGTAATCCATCAGTTTAGCCGAAATCGCCTGTTTAAGTTATATTCGAAATTCAGGGAAACCAAATCTTACGAAGAATTCGAAAACAGCTCCTTCAGGGTGTGCTTGATTTTTTTTTGATACTGCATAAATCGTTCATGTACCACCGTCATTGTTTCCGCTGTGCCAGAAAAATTGTTTCGAGAGACTCCAAAGTTCACGGTCTGAAAGTGTTCGTATTCCGAGAGTAAATTCTCTCAACTGATTTATTACCTCAAGCCTAGGCCTTTTACTGTTTACATTCCCTTGGCTTTCTTGATAACTGGAGAAGAAACTTTTTATTTCAGCAATGCCATCGGACATCTCACATTCCGTGACTACAGTTGCGAATGCAAGTAGTGGAATGATTCTCATAACTGAATACTGCAATTTTAGTGAATTCGCTGTGAAGAAAAATTACTACAAAAGTGATTCCGGAGAGCCACTTTTGTAAGCCTTGGCATTAATAAAAAATCCGTTGCTTCCTTGATAGGCATACACGAAGTTGTTATTATAGATTATTTATACACAATAGCTGTTTCGGTGGATTTCGCCTTTTCCGATCTTGGAAATCTTGAATTAAGTGTAACTTAATGAGCCATGGTATTTTGCTTGCCTGCACGTTTACCGCCTAGGGATTCTTTAAGCTAGGCTAAGAGGAAAAACCACATCCTCAAAAAATATGCCCATCGTAAATAAGGTTCTGTTTATCTTGCCATTCAATTCCAACGAAATAAACACAGCCCCAAAGCATTGCTTAAGAATGGCCGGTTTACAGAATTTGGTAGCAATGGTTGGAATACCACCGATCACTTTAAGAAGCCAGCTTGGTCGCAACCGTTCAAGTAACCGTTTGTATAACCGTTTGTACGCAAAAAGCAAATTTGCATAATTTTCCTTAACACTATAGACGGTGATTGCGTGACTACAGGTCCATTGTACCTGTTTTCTTGTGAAGCTTGCGGCGACGAATACTTTGGCAAAGTAAGGTAGGTAGAAATGTATGTGTCCGTATAAAAGAGCATCTAGATGATAAGCATGAAGGTAGCTAAAGTACTCCACTAGGCGCGCACGGGACAAAGACACATAACAGATGTTGACACAGAAGCCACCATCCTTC